TATGAGTGAACATACGATGCTTGCTTTTCCACTCCTGTGTTGCTTCATTTAGAATAATGGCCTCCAGCTCCATCCAAGTTGCAGAATATTCTATGATACCCTGCTGCTTTGTGACATTAGAAAACCTGGGTCAGGGGCTCAGGACAGATCTGAGCTACAGCCATAAACAGGGAGTTATCTGAAGATCCTTTAGGACCTGTGGAGAGTGAGCCAGGGAGCGTTTTCTGCATCAAACTTGTCCTTTGGATTAACAGGTTAAGTAGCCACATCAATGGAACACCCTCAAACCTGTGTTGCTGTAGGGGACAACACACTGTGTCATAGGCATCACTCGTCAAGACCCAAGAGCCCTCCAGGGTGTTCTGCCCAAGGCAGGGGGGAGGCAGAAGGATGTCAGATAACCTGATTGATGGCAGCTTCAGGATGAGGCCCCATGAAGGCACTGGGAGGGCAGGTCCCAGGGGACATCCAGCTCTCTAGGAGGGCAATGCATGGTGGGGAGGGATCGCAGGGAGGGATGGCAGATTTGTGGTGACCTGAAGGAGAGGAATCTAAACTATTCAGAGACAGGCCTCAGCAGGACTTGCTTTAAAGCTAACTCTTCCCTAACAACTGAGTTGAATGTTTTAAAAATTCCAGTATTTCCAAATCATGGACAGCTGATACTCCAAAGGACATCAGGAACATCTACTTCAATGTCTCTGTTTCCAGAAGAGGAAATTGAGGCCCAGATAAACAGATGCAGTAGACACACCAGGCTGCCCATTCCTGCGGAGAATGTGTAGCTACAACTTTTGTTTCCTTGGGAAAGGGCTCCCTTCATAAAGGATTATGGCCAGTTTCCTTCCCTCTTGCCAGGCAGTCTGCTAGGAGCTTCATCAAAACTTTTTCTTTCTAGTTGTTTCAATGCCCTAAAACTTACAATCAAGTTCTCAGATTAATTTATCAAAAGTCAGAGAGCTCTGGAAGGGAGGCAAGGACAGAATGAAGGAGAAACTGTTGGATTTTTGAAATATGAAAAGCTGTTTGTAAATTACTTGCCCCTTCTGTCATAGCCACCGCTGCTCCAGGGGCCCTCTGCTGCACAGGCGAGAGCTCTGGGCACAGACACTCCGATGCAAATGCTGCCAGACCTGAGCATCCAGCGGGCTTCACTGCTGCTTCCCAGCAAAGAAATGAGCATTTCATGGAGGGCGCTCAGAGAGCTCAGGCAAAGGAGAGGTGGCTCCCTTTGGGGATTCTTCTCCCAGCCCTTGCGACTCAGAAGTGGGATTCCTGGACCAGCAGCAGCAGCAGGTACTGACAGCTTGTTAGAAATGCAGACTCCTGGGCCCCGTCCAGACCCAAGTCAGCACCGGCATGTTAACAAGACCCCAGGGGATTCCCAGACACGGTGCAGTTTGAGCAGCAGGGTGCGAGGTTGCCCTTTCCCACAACAGCCTTTTTTTAAATTTAGGTTCTGGGGTACATGTGCAGGTCATGCAGGTTTGTTGCATAGGTACATACATAACCAGGTGGTTTGCTGCCTCTTCCCCCTTTGACTATATCCAGCATTTCTCCCCAAGTTATCCCTCCCCTAGTCCCCCTGCAATTACTCCCAGTGTGTGATGCTTCTTTCCCTGAGTCCACGTGTTCTCATTGTTCAACACCTGCCTATGAGAACACGTGGTGTTTGATTTTCTGTTCTTGTGTCAATTTGCTGAGAATGATGGTTTTCAGATTCATCCAAGTCCCTACAAAGAACACAAACTCATCGTTTTTTATGGCTGCATAGTATTCCATGATGTATATGTACCACATTTTCTTTGTCCAGTCTATCATCAATGGGCATTTGGGTTGGTTCCAGGTCTTTGCTATTGTACACAGGGCTGCTGTGAACATAGTGTGCATGCGTCTTTATAGTAGAACGATTTATAGTTCTTTGGGTATATACCCAGTAATAGGATTGCTGGGTCAAATGGAATTTCTATTTCTAGATCCTTGAGAAATCGCCACACTGTCTTCCACAATGGTTGAACTAATTTATACTCCCACCAACTGTGTAAGAGTGTTCCTATTTCACCACATCCTCTCCAGCATCTGTTGTCTCCAGATTTTAATGATCACCATTCTGCCTGGTGTGAGATGGTATCTCAATGTAGTTTTGATTTGCATTTCTCTAATGACCAGTGATGATGAGCATTTTTTCATGTTTGTTGACCCTCATATATGTCTTGTTTTGAAAAGTGTCCATATCCTTTGCCCACTTTTGAATGGGGTTTTATTCTTGTAAATCTGTTTTAGTTCTCTGTGGATTCTGGATATTAGCCCTTTGTCAGATGGGTAGACTACAAAAATTTTTTCCCATTCTATTGATTGCTGATCTGCTCTAATGATGGTTTCTTTTGCTGTACAGAGCTCTGGAGTTTAATTAGGTCCCATTTGTCTATGTTGGCTTTTGTTGCCATTGCTTTTGGTGTTTTAGTCATGAAGTCCTTGCCTATGCCTATGTCCTGGATGGTTTTTGCCTGTTTTTTTTCTAGTGTTTCTATGTTGTTAGGTTTTATGTTTAATCTATCTGGAGTTAATTTTAGTGCAAGGTGACAGGAAAGGGTACAGTTTCTGCTTTCTGCACGTTGCTAGCCAGTTTTCCCAACACCATTTATTAAACATGGAGTCCTTTCCCCATTGCTTGTTTTTGTCGGGTTTGTCAAAGATCACATAGTTGTAGATGTGTGGTCTTGCTTCTGGGGTCTGTGTTCTGTTCCATTGGTCTATGTCTCTGTTTTGGTACCAGTACCATGCTGTTGTCATTACTGTAGCCTTGTAGTATAGTTTGAAGTCCGGCTGTGTGATGCTTCTGGCTTTGTTCTTTTTGCTTAGGATTGTCTTGGCTGTGTGGGCTCTCTTGTGATTCCATATGAAGTTTAAAGTGTTTTTTTCCGGTTCTGTGAAGGAAGGTCATTGGTAGCTTGATGGGGATAGCACTGAATCTGTAGATTACTTTGGGCAGTATGGCCATTTTCAATTAATATCTTCAATTAGGAAGATACTAATTCTTCCTAACCATGAGCATGGAAGGTTTTTCCATCTGTTTGTGTCCTCTCTTATTTCGTTGAGCAGTGGTTTGTAGTTCTCCTTGAAGAGGTCCTTTACATCCTTTGTTAGTTGTATTCCTAGGTATTTTATTCTCTTTGTGGCAATTGTGAATGGGAGTTTGCTCTTGATTTGCTGTTTGTCTGTTATTGGTATATAGGAATGCTTGTGATTTCTGCACATTGATTTTGTATCCTGAGACTTTGCTGAAGTTCCTTATCAGTTTGAGAAGATTTTGGGCTGAGATGATGGGGTCTTCTAAATATACAATCATGTCATCTTCAACTAGAGACAGTCTGACATCCTTTTTCTAATTGAATACCCTTTTTTTTTCTTGCCTGATTGCTCTGGCTAGAGCTTCCAATACTATATTGAATAGGAGTGGTGAGAGAGGGCATCCTTGTCTAGTGCCACATTTCAAAGGGAATGCTTCCAGTTTTTGCCCATTCAGTATATTGGCTGTAGGTTTGTCATAAATAGCTTTTATTCTTTTATGATACGTTCTGTCAGTACCTAGTTTGAGAGTTTTTAGCATGAAGGGCTGTTAAATTTTATCGAAGGCCTTCTCTGCATCTATTGAGATAATCATGTGGTTTTTGTTTTCGGTTTCATTCATGTGATGGATTACGTTTATAGACTTGCGTATGTTGAACTGGCTTTGCATCCCTGGGATGAAGCCGACTTGATTGTGATGAATAAGCTTTTTGATGTGCTGCTGCATTTGGTTTGCCAGTATTTTATTGAAGATTTTTGCGCCGATGTTCATCATGGATATTGGCCTGAAGTTTTTGAGTCTCTGCCTCGTTTTGGTAGCAGGATGATGTTGCTCTCATAAAATGAATTAGGGAGGATTCCCTCTTTTTATATTGTTTGACATGGTTTCAGAAGGAATGGAACCAGTGCTCTTTGTATATCTGGTAGAATTTAGCTGTGAACCTGTCTGGACCTGGAGTATTTTTCAACCAGAATAGCTTTTCTGCACTGCTGGACCAAGGAGATGCTACCCAGCTACCTCACCCACCTGAAATGCAGCCCCTCTGCTTCTGCTGAAAGCTTTCAAAGCGACAAGTTAGTAACTGGAACGTTATGCAATGAAGTTCTTTGCTTTATAGATTAGATACTCAGGCTTCTCAAGAACGGAGATGGAAGTCAGGCACTGGGGCTCATACTTGTAATCTCAGCACTTTGGGAGGCCGAGGTGTGTGGATCACCTGAGGTCAGGAGTTTGAGACCAGCCTGGACAGCATAGTGAAATCCCGTTTGTACTAAAAATACAAAAAAAAAAAAAAAAAAAAAAAAACGCCAGGTGCGATGGTGTACACTTGTAGTCCCAATACTTGGGAGGCTGAGGCAGGAGAATCTCTTGAACCCAGGAGGCGGTGGAGGTTGTAATGAGCGGAGATCATACCAAATGCACCCCAGCCTGGGTGACAGAGTGAGACTCTGTCTCAAACAAAACAAAACAAACAAAAAACGGTGATAGAATAGAGATAAGCACTCAACAAAGTTGCCTGGGGCTTTTGCTTAGGGGCAGTGACAGTCCAAAGGCCCCGCAAGGCATTGCTGCTATAAGGCTATCTGATCCCTGATACTCAGAGATGACCCTGAGTGATTTCACAACAAGTTAATGTTCATTATTCCCAGATCGTTCAAAGGACAGTTGACATTTTAGATATTCTTATAAAAAGGCTGAGAAAGAAAGTACACAAACGTCTTCTAGAAAGTTAATGTATGTGCTACAATACTTCCTTCCCCCAATAATACCAGAGACACGCGGTTGCCCTGTGTGTCCACTCACTCTTTCTATAGATTTTGCAGACGAGCTGACCTGTCCCATTCCCCCAACCTTCCTTTCCCAGTCCAAGCATTGGTGGTGGTTTCTGCTGCTGGTTGATAAAACACACAGAGAGTCAAGGGTTTTTGTGTTTTTTTTTTTTTTTTTTTTTTAGACTTTTTTTGGTTTGTTTTTAAAGAAACTGCATACATCATCAGAGACAAACAATAATTTAAATACCATGCAGTTTCTGTATGTACAAAACCTAGGCCACAGAGATCCAGTTTAATTTGTATTCTCTATTTACATTGTTTTCCTCATACAGTCGTCATCTGTTAAATTAGAACCTGGGAGATCAGGGTATTGACGGTCACCACACTCACTCCTATACAAAGACAAACTATGTACAGACACCCAGGAAGCAACTGGAAAATGCAACTGGTCTGGGGATTAACAGACAAATAGGGAGAAAAAGTCATTTAAGGTGACCTTTGCCCACCAGCTGTGCACAGGGAGAGCCTGAAATTCCATTCATCGAAGCAACACATCACGATTTTCATTCGGCAAATAAATACATGTTCAGAAGCGGGAGAAAAATAAACTCAGAGCTTTTCATCACATTTACCGTCATGTTGTTTGGTTTCTCTAATCTGACATAAAGGCTAAAGTTTTAGAAGTTCTACAGGGCTTTAAGGGCCTTTGGAGATGAATATATCAGCCATTTAAAAAAGCTAGTAGGCTGATGGCGGTCTCTTCAGTCATTGATTGGGGGCAGGGTCACGCAATGTCTAATCCACATGGAAAAAAAATGCTCAACTGGGAATTTATACACACAAAATTAACTTAGACTTGCCAACTGCAGCTCTTTCAAAAAAGAGATGCATTTGAAGTCGTCTAGTATACCTTTTAATTTTTTCCCTTAATGTCAAATTGTCCTCCTGGAGAGTAACACAAATTGCTGCAGTTGTCATGACATCGTAGAAAATAAAAAAATTTGAATAGGTCTCTAGAAAGACCTTAAGGTTTTCCGTAAGGAAAGAGCAGAGGGCCCATCCTGCAGGCCACAGAGGTTGCTGAGCCTGTGTAAGAGCCACTTACAATGGGCTTGAAATGGCAGGGGAGGTGCACCCCTCAGTCTGAGCAAGTGATGTCTGGAAAACAGGCCCTGCAGGAAGAGCAGTAGAAATTGAGTTCAATTTCTTCCATGCACAAAGTGGACTGCAACATGAGGGCACTTTGGGCGGAAACCCTGGGCTGCTTGCTGGCTGGCCGCAGGGAGAGCCACTTGGGCCTTATATCCCCAGGGAATCTAAAGGGCCAAGAACCAAGGCCAGCAGAGAAGCCATGGGCTGGGCCTATCATGGGAGGAGTGCAGTCAATGGAATGAGTTTCCTTAGGACTCGCTCCTGGCCAGGGAGGACCGTCATGCCAGGGAGTCCAGCTGCAGTTAGAGGAAGTTCAGACTCAAAGCGTGGCCGGCAGGCACCTCTACCTAGAACACGTGCCTACCTGCCCGCCGTGGAGAAATTCAACGAAAGAGCCCTACATCTTTCGTCATACCATTTGCACATTCAAACGTCAGTAAGTCTTTCGGGAAGACTGTTTACAGTCACAATAAAATCCCGATCACATTTTCCCTGAACAATACCTCTCCCCACAGCAGGAACTATTCAGATTCAACAGTAAAAAAAAAAGAAAAAAGAAAAATAAGAGATCTAGTGATGGCATCCTCCTTGGGTCAGGCAGAGGCGTGCTGGCTCCAGGCGGCAAGGCAAAGCTGCAGCTGGAGGCACTGCCCAAAGAGCTGTCTGGAACTCTTCCAGCAGCTGTCCGGCTCCTGGGTTAGTGCCTACATGGGAGCCGTTCATGCCTGCAAAAATGCAATGGCCTCATTGACGGGTGTGCATCCTAAGAGTAACCTGCTCCCACAGGGTTTGTGGTGGGAAGACTGGTTAACTTTTTGGAAAGGCCAAGCTGGCATCTTTCTAAATCCTGGACATGTGTGGTGGAGAGCAAGCCACCACTTAGAAAGACTGGGGTAACTATGGAGTCACCCCAGAAGGCAAGAGAGCTCTGTGACTCAGGGCCTGCTCTGTTAGGAAGAAAAATGAAAGCTGCAGTGGGCCTCGTTAGGATGCTTGTTAGGGTCTAGGAGGGTCCTGGCCTCACTGCACACCCAACCCTGGATGTCCCAGTCAGAGACACACCTGCAGTCATGCTCGCTAGCATCATGAGGAGAAGGAGGAGCTCTCTGGACCAATTGGAGCAGAAAAGGGCACTGTGGGCAGGTGTGGCTGGTGTCGGCCTGATTCTGGCACATGCCCAACTCTGGGGCTCCTTCACAGAAACTCTTCAGCCCTCTCCCCACCAAAAAAAGGCCATGGAGTGGTTCTGGAGTACCAGTCCCTTGGTGGCTGGAAAGCCAGTCCTACAGGAATGGTTTCTGGCCTGCATGCACTGGTCCTATACACAGAAGCTATGAACTCCCAAGTCACATACTCACCAGCTCTGAGGCACACAAAGAAAATAAATGTCAGCCAAGCAGTTTCTGATCCCACAGGGTTCAACAGGGTCCTCCCACTCAGACTTATAAACAGCACAGGAGTACCTTAGCAATGGCTGTGTGTGTGCGTGGACCACTCATGAAATTGGACTCTGAACACAGATGGGTTGATTATTTGAATTGAGCAGATGACAACTTTCCCCATCTAAACCAGAGCTTCCTGAAAGGCAGCTCAGCTCAGGCAGAGGGGGCAGGATAGATGCTCAGTGCCAGCCTTCGTTGCCAGGAGGCAGCCAGGCTCCCCCAGAAATGGGCCCTTCCCTTTTGTTCACTGTGTGGGTGGTGGCTGGAGGGAAAACACAGGGGCAACTGAGAAGTGCTCCCTCCCTCTTGGTGTCAGCTCCAAAGGGCCCCCAAGCCAGATGTCATGTCTGGAGCCAGTACATTTGGCCAATTGTAGAAGTCCAACCAGATCATTAGCTTTGCACAGTACTCCCCGCCCCCCGCCATAAAACAAACCCACACTTTCAGCTTTCTTTGGACTCAGGTGACAGACACTTGTGAGGAAGAGGTTTGCTGGAGACTTCATGAAGGCAGTGCCTGTTGGGCCTGGTTGGAGAGGACAAGAACTGTTCCACCTGCCGGAAAGTCTTCAGTCAGGGCCCTGCCAATGCCCTTGGCACTGCCGGGGTTTGGGATGCATTTTGGTGTCAGAAGTGGGACCAGCAGCTCGGACCCCCGAGCCATCACTTTCATGTTTTCACACATAAAATCCTGATTGTGTTTCCTTGATTTTTCTTCTTCTTTTTTAAAAAAGGCAGTTCAGAAGATTTACATCGTAATGGGGAAGTGAATAAATACCAGCACTTACGGTTCTTATAAATTTATGTTTTGAAGACAGCATAGCACTCAAGAGGAATTTGACTGTTAAGGTCGGTGAAACCTAAGGAAACAAATAATTAAATCAAGACCAAGGGGCTGCCAAAGGTGTGGGATTCAACAGTCCAATCTCCATCCTCAGGGAGTTTCTTGACTGAGAGGGAGGTACAAGCTTCCCACCATCATCCCACAGGAGTGCCACTGAACATGCACCTGGTTTTGAAATAGCAGCCCTGGCAGCCTCCAGCCCCTCTCATCAGCCTGGATCCAGCAGCAAGGTGCAGAACCCAATCCGTGTCTTTGAGTCTCTAGACTAAATACTCGCTACACCTTATTTTTCTAAATGTTCCCCTCAAAAGAAAGAATTAAGTCAATGGCTCTGTTGCTAACTAGCCATGTGACTTTCTATAAACCTCTTAATTACTCTGTGCCTCAGCTTCCCCAAATATCATCATCATTCTGGACTGTCAGGGAGAATGTCAGGGAATAACAGAAGCGGTCCACTTTGGAAGTCCCACGTGGACTTCATGTTTTGTTCAGGTTTCTGCTGCCTGTTTGCAAATTGGCAACAATCTTTTCTCCTTGACCTAAGTTTTCGTGAAAACCCACCTTGAGGTCGTTGGTAGTCTGGTGCTTATCAGACCTTTAGTTTAAATGAGTGAAACTCAGACTTTGGAGAAAGCTGCTTTTAGTTTGGGCCATCTGTGTTCCTCTTCCTCGTTTCAGTAACCTCAAGTGGAACTGCATGCCAGCCTTCCTATTATCTTCCCTGTCACGGCACCCACCAACCCACTTGTGACCCACAAGTGGGAGAGCTTCATTTGAAGATAGATATTACAATTTGACGGGAAAAAAAGGAAAAAGAAAACCCTCAGTACTAACCTTGTTAAGTGTCTACTCAACTCATGAACTTCCATCTCAGTGCTTTTGAATTCATTGAGCTCCTTTCGGATGGCAGCCTGGAATCAAGAGAGGCCCATCAGTGTGCGTGGGAGAGAGACAGAAAGGAACTCCCCTTTCATTTCGTTCCTAACAGCATAATTTTCTTCTTGCACAAAGACAAACAAGTTTAAGATGAATTCCTTAATGGGAGGAAGAAAAATCACCTGAGATGTCCTTTAGAACAAAGATTCCCCTCCTTCCCTAAATCTAAATTGGAAATGATGACAGACTATTGCTCAAGGTATTTTTCTTCCTCTTTTCACAGAGCTGTGGCATTGAGGGATCAACGGTGGTGTACACCTACCCCACACTCCTGGGGGCCCAAGAACACAGTAAAAGTAAAACTTCTTATCTTCTCTAAATAAACAAAGGTCAGCAAAGGCACAGTGATGCCTCGAGGTGGAGACTTCCAGAAGGTGTAGATCAAATTCTCCAACCAAATTAGGGGTACAGGTGATGGCCAGTTCCCTACTAACCCTTTGCTTTTGTTCTTTTACAACTTCTCTGACTCTTCACTGATGTATTTCACCATGGGAGATATTTTTTCAATAACCTTGCATGTTCGGAGATGATCCTGAATCACCCCATCCTTACAATACTGTCCAGGGTGGCAGGGCCTGGAATCAGTCAGCAAAGAGAGGTCACGAGGGAGCAGGGGAGGAGGAGGGGCTGATAGAGAAGGCAGCTAAGGCTGCAGACAACCTCACTCCTTCCTCGGGGGTAGAAATTGCAAACACGTGCCCTCTTGCATAGCTCTGTCTATGGCTGATCCTTGCTTTGATGGGAATATCAAGGCCTCAGGAGTTTGAGGATAGAAAAGTCTTCATGTAGGATCAGAATGGCCTTCCCCAGGAAAAGAAGGCTCGCTTAGGTTTAAGTGCCTGGGTAGCTGCTTTGGGTGCTGGGGCGACAGGGGCAGGGGGAGCACCCCATGCTTTCTGTCTTCTGTCCCCAACAGCCATTGAGAAACTGGATATGTTTTCCACCCAAGAGCTACTCAGAATTCTACGAGGCTGCAAGTAGAGATGGCTGTGGTTTCCTTGCACACTTGCTAATACCCTTATCCTTGCAAGCATACCGTAGTGAGAGTGTGGTCTGGAGAGGACAAGAGTGAAAGCCCTTTCCTCTGTTCATATTTAGAAGACACACTCCCGGGGAGCTGGGTTTGTCTGTCTGGGACATGGCAGTGCCAGTTCTTGGGTTGCTCCCACAAATTCCCTTGCAGGGAAGCTGTGAATGCTGTGTTTACAGAGGAGGGCATGGTCTTCCACACATCATGTCTATGGGTTGACCCACCTGAGATCGTCTCTGGGAGAAGGCTATCTGCTTCTGGCCATTTCATTCCCACCCAGTCCCATCAGAGTGCAGCAATGTGCCTGCGTACATGTTTCTTACAATTCCTGGACCAAGGGTTGGTGATAATGCAGCCAGCCTGGGCTGTAGATGACTTGCTGCTGTATGGTACAAGAAAACTCCTGGTCCCTGAAATGGACAGAGTGAAGGCCAGACTGTTGAGCAGAAGGCCCTGACACACTCCACAGTTTCTATTGTCACCTACACATTGGGTAGAATCATTATTCCAGACTACGTTTTTTTTTTTTTATAGACAGAGTCTCGTTCTTGTCGCCCAGGCTGGAGTGCAATGGTGTGATCTCGGATCACTGCAACCTCGACCTCCCAGGTTCAAACAATTCTGCTGCCTCAACCTCCCAAGTAACTGGGATTACAGGCCTGCACCACCACGCCTGGCTAATTTTGTATTTTTAGTAGAGATGGGGTTTCACTATGTTGGTCAGGCTGATCTCTAAGTCCTGACGTCAAGTGATCCACCCACCTTGGCCTCCCAAAATGCTATTATAGGTGTGAGCCACTGCGCCTGGCCGAGGCTACATTTTTAAAAAGGCACTTAACCCTCCAGTTCCTCATGGCGACTAGAGTAGAATCAAGAGGATTACCCAACAGAGCTTTATTCTGATACCTCATGTAGCAGACAGAGAAAATGATTTCTCATTGGCATCACTGCTTTTCTTAAATAACAAACTCAACCTCAGATTATTCTTGTTTTCTAAATTGGCAGTTAAGGGCAGTGAGATATATTTTGTGACATCTTTTTTTTTTTTTTTTTTGAGATTGACTCTCACACTGTCACCCAGGCTGGAGTGCAGTAGCATGATCTTGGCTCACTACAATCTCCGTCTCCTGGGTTTAAGCGATTCTCCTGCCTCAGCCTCCCGAGTAGCTCAGATTACAGGTGTCTTCCACCATGCTTCGCTATTTTTTTTTTTTTTTTAGTAGAGATGGGGTTTCACCATGTTGGTCAGGCTATTCTCAAACTCCTGACCTCATGATCAGCCTGCCTCGGCCTCCCAAACTGCTGGGATTACAGGCGTGTGCCACTGTGCCTGGCCTGTCATGTCTTTTTGATTTGTGCAGTATTGCTCTCCTGAGGTTATGCGGCCACTTTGTCTTTTGGTTTGGTGCATCCCCTGTTGGGTGCTGGCAGCACTGTCCCCTATACGGAAGGTCTGTGATGAGCCCGAAGCCTCGTGCCTTCACCTGTCTATGCCTATCCAGTGCTATTCTCTTTCTCGGGCACAGCCTCCTAGGCTGCTGCTGCTCCTCCTGTAAAGCGGGCACAGTATTATGTGGCTTGTGTCTTCTCCAATTCAGTGGCCTCTCCACAGATTGTGGCCACTGGGGAAAGGTACTGGGGTCCCAGCACTCTGTATGGGACGGCAGCTGAGGCCTGGCTGCAGGTCTCCCTGTAGGGTCCCCAGTGGTGAGCCCAGTGAGACACCCAGCAGATGGCCCTGCCTCCCACTCTCCAGCACTCCCCTTGGCTTACTTTGTCGGCAGCGGTGAGGCGGGTCCACGGCTTATCTGCCCTGCGGTCATAGTCCTGAGCGTCAGCCACCTCCACATAGTCACTGAAGCGGATGAGGATCTTCCTTTCCCGAAGCTCTTCCACTGTGGGCCTTTGACTGAGCTGCAGAGAGGGAGAGAGATAGACCCAGTTAGCCAGAGGGGTCGACCATGGCACTTGGTCTTGTCTGTGAACTTGCACGTGTGGAAAATAAGGCAAGGCAATGGATGGGACACACAGTGAGTGAGGGGTGGGGGCGGGTGGTGGGTGGGGGGGACCCAAGTCTCCTGACTTGGAACTGGGACCTTTCTAGATCCTAAGAGAGAGCTTTGTTATCCCTTACATACCCTCTAGGCCAAGCTCTAATTTTTTAAAAAACTAAAAAAAAAAAATCCTTTTATTATGTAAATTTTCAATAGAAGGAAGGAGGCTAATATAATGAATTTGGTGTATTATCACCAACTTCAACAATTGCCAACTCTTGACTACATCCACATGTGGATTTCTTTGAAACAAGTCGCAGGCATTATATCATTTTATCTGTGTATATTTCAGTACAGAATATCTAAAGATTAGGACTTTAAAGCATATTCACAATACTGTTTATACACCTATAAGAATCGATAATAAACAGTCTCTGCCTTCATAACATTGCTGAGTCCTGGTCTTTACCATAAGCTTGTCTTTCTGTTTGGCTGTGGGCACCTGTTGTGGATTTTTTATCTGTCCTACTCCCACCAGGTGACAGGGACATTCTACAACGATTCTTATTTTGGATTTGTGAGTCCACATCTGTGTGTCACATTGAGTGCTTTCTGCAAGATGGGTTTGCACTTGTGTTTTAGATACAAAAATGTACGTGCAAATGGTATGCAAATTCTGGGGTATGCAGGGATGGGAATCTGCCGGCTGAAGAGGTCAGCTCAAACGTTACTGACAGCCCTCTGCAAGAAGTTCAAGGGGAAGGTCACTCAACAAAGGTGGAGCTGAGTAAGTACAGAAACAGGCACATTTATGGACCAGCCCTTCGGATGGTCCATGATGAAGGGCTGCAGGAATGAGGGATGAAACAAGTAAAAGCAAGATGGATAATGTATTTAATGTATTTTGCCGTATCCATGAACACCCTTCCAATACTTCAGTAACATAAGGCTGACATTTCTATTATCTCTTCCTGTCACCAGGTTTACTTCTCCTGGAGCAACACAGTTGCTCTCTTTAGGATGCTGCCAATTGATGTTCCACCAATGTTATTTAAAAGCCATTTTCCCTCCGAGCCCTAGACTATGTGTAATTCTATTACTAGAAGATACGATCTGATAGAATCTTGCAACTCAGGCCCACAGAACAAACACAATGGAATCCAAACCACCCTGGCAGTTCCGACTCTGCATCAGGCAGCTGCCAGACACCCTTGTCTGATGTGAGAATGTTCCAACTTGCTCCCATGCTGGCAGACCACAATTAGAAGATGGCTGGCAGATACCAGAGTGGCAGGTACTATCACACCTGGACAGGGCCAAGGCAGGCCTGCAGCTCCCTCTCAGCCAAGGGCAGGAAGCTCTGGGGATCAGGGTTTCAGCAGGCTCTGGCTACCCCTTTCCTGAACTGCATGTAGCCCTCCCTTGGCTTTCTTGGGCAGGACAACATTCTGACACCAGTGCGGGCCTGTTGCGGGAACCGACAGGCTTCCCAGGCTGCTAGGGCTGTGGTCACCGTAAACAAAAATAGCGGTCATCCCGACTCCAAAATGTGTTCTCCGCAATGTGAGTGCAGGGAGATTTTGTGCTATAATTAAAATACATAAAAACATGCAACGTTTGCCATATTTACTCTGGATAAGCAGACTCCTATTCTGCATCCCGTCTGTGCTGCTCAGGACTTGTTGAGTTTACCCCAAGAGGCTGGACAAAGTATTATTTTCTTTTTTTCATTTTTCTTTTTTTTAGATGGAGTCTCACTCTGTTGCCCAGGCTGGAGTTCAGTTGTGCAATGATCTTGGCTTACTGCAACTTCCATCTCTTGGGTTCAAGTAATTCTCCTGCCTCAGCCTCCTGAGTAGCTGGGATTACACGTGTGCGCCACCTTACCCAGCTAAATTTTGTATTTTTAGTAGAGGTGGAGTTTCGCCATATTGCCCAGGCTGGTCTTGAACTCCTGATCTCAAGTGATCCACCATTCCTGGCCTCCCAAAGTGCTGGGATTACAGGCATAAGCCACTGTGCCCAGCCCAAGGTGTTATTTTCTAAGTGCCCCATGGTGTAAGAAAAGTTGTTAAGCCCTCACTTTCAAATTTCTCTTCCTGGAAATTGTGACCTGGGTTTTACTAATATCCTATCTATGACAGAGTCTAGATGAACTGCAAAGTAAGCATAAACACTGCAGGTCAGTGATTGTTTATTGTGCCTGAACATTGTGGGGCCTTAGATACCGCCTTTCCAATTGAAGACCGCACTGTGACCAAGTGCTCAGAGGGAATGAGTGAGGATCAGCTGGCTGCTGCCCCTGACAGTTGTAGTTGGTGCACAGACCCCAGCACTAACTAACGGCCACCAGGATGCTGCTCTGTGTGCGTGGGCTCATGCCGCTGACCACAAAGGGCTTAGAAGATGCACCTTTGGCCTGGTGCTGGCTGTAGTCCTTGGGGCATCTGGCACCTGAGGCCCTTCCTTGAATGCTGCAAAAATAGTCTGCAGCCAAAGTCAGGTTTTCTGGGAATAATGGGCTGATAGAAGGAGTAGGGGGCAGTGAGTGGTAGCATTTGTATTGTGTATTGCAGCAATAATATGTGCAACCAATTAAAAAAAAAGGGGGGGGGAAGAGTAACTTCATTAAGGCCCAAATTCTATTTTCTTTACTCTGTCACCCACGCTGGAGTGCAGTGACATGATCACAGCTCACTGCAATCTCCACCTCCGGGGTTCAAGTGATTCTCCTGTCTCAGCCTCCCGAGTAGCTGGAACTACAGGTGTGCACCACCACGCCTAGCTAATTTTTGTGTTTTTTAGTAGAGACGGGTTTTCACCATGTTGGAGAGGCTGGTCTCGAACTCCTGACCCTTATGATTTGCCTGCCTCGGCCTCCCAAAGTGGTGGGATTACAGGAGAGAGCCACTGTGCCTGGCCCAGATTCTACTTTGAATATAACTTAAACCCAAATGTATTTTTTTCCTTTTCTCCTCCCTCCCAGGCATGTATCCATCCATTCATCCACATAGCTAGCTAGCATCTTTTTTTTTTTTTGAAGGGGAAGGCAGGCAGGCATGTTGTTTTTTGTTCATTTTTCTTTTGTTTTTGAGACAGAGTCTCACTCTGTTGTCTAGGCTGGAGTGCAGTGGTGCAAACTTGGCTCACTGCAACCTCCGCCTCCCAGGATCAAGTGATTCTCCTGCCTCAGCTTCCCGAGTAGCTGGGATTACAGGCATCCGCCACCACACCTAGCTAGTTTTTTATAGAGGCGGCATTTAAGTTTGTTGGCCAGGTTGGTCTCGAGCTCCTGACCTCGTGATCCACTTGCCTTGGCCTCCCAAAGTCCTGGGATTATAGGCATGAGCCACTGTGCCTGGCCACAGGCATGTTTTTTAAAAGGCAAAGCATGTAATTTTTATATTAGTCCCAATTTGGCTGAAGAAAATGACTGGTCTGTTGCTATCAGCCTCAGTTACCACGTTTTATTTTTAATTTTTCTTACTAGTGCATTACAGTGAAATAGAACTTTATTGAAGAAATCCTTGGGCTGAGGGCAAGTCACTGAAAAGGGGCCACCATCACTGGCATCTGGTCTCAGTGTAATAAGGGCCCAAGAGGAAAAGAACCTGCACAGGGCCAGGAAGTGATGATGTAGGTTCCCTACCTGCTGGCAGGCATCACATCTCTGCTCGAAAAAGCAGATGCGCAAGCTGCCCCTCTGTCCTTCCAGCCTCTGTCTTAGAAGCAGTTATCGCCTCCTCTCAAGCTCATTATTTCTAATTCCCCCAGCCAGTCCCAGGGGGAGGGCAAATGATAAAATTCCAAGACCATTTCCCACGGAGAAGAAAGGAGAGGTGAGCAAGAGAAAGAGGCAATTATATGATTGTGGAGACCTGCAAAAATTACGAACTATTTGTGGTCCCCATCCCTAGTGTTAGCCACCCTAGGGAGATGGGTATGGAAAGGAAGACTCTTTCTTTGCCTATTGCCACATCATGCAATTAGTCAGGTTCTCCATAAAATCATATCAACTTTGTTAAGAGACAGGAATTAAATAAATGTCTAAGTATTTCTCTGTGACCATCTTTTAGTAAGCAACCTTAAAATTTGGGGAATTTTGGGGGTCCAGCAACCAATCCTGAAAAATTTGATGAAAATCTGATTTAAACAATTTTTTCCCCCAAGTGTCTAGGTCTTTCTGTATCAGAAATGAAGGTTTATCACAGTGTCTTTTTCAAATCCCTGTCATTTCAAGGACACCATGAAAAAAAGCTAATGCATCTCCCCTGCTCTTCTCACTACTTAATCTCAGTAAAAACTGCATCCTGAGTCCAAAGAGTGGGTTGGCTTAAGGATGTAAAGGGTCCAGCCTTAACAGGTGGGACATCAACTGGTTGGGAGGTCACTTAGCTTTCACTCTAGTCTCCACCAGGCTGACGCCAGCCAGTCCTCTGGCCATTCAGGCGCTTGTTTATTCTGCTCTTGCTAATTGGGTTGGCATTTGGCTTGTCACCAGGTATTTGGGATGCTCTCAGGGAGAGAAAGTGTTGAGAAATATAAACCATCACCTTAATAATTGGTATATTTCAGGATCTCTGAATTTCTTCCTTTGTGTGATATTTCTGGGGAGAAAAATCCACTAATAAACCCTGTTAAAATTAATGTTAATGGGCCTCTTAACTATCGCTAAGATATGAGTATCTTTCTCTCAAGATGGTCACTGTAGGAGGCTGATTAAAAACACTGTGACTTCGTCAGACAGAAGACAGTATTATATCTTGCGTGTCATCAATTAATTAAACTTTTCAACATCATCCAGGAATAGCCTTAACGATGAGTTTATTATGAAAGAGGACACTAGCGTGGAATGAATGCCTGAGGGGCTCCAGCGCACTGCCAAACCATCTATTTTTGGGGTTAAGAATATATTAAAATTCCAGTTTTATGACTTTTATCTATGCCCTTCTCAAATGTCTTCTTTAAATTTGTCAGTACTTTCACAATTTAGCCTAATAAAGTTGCATAGTTCTGAATTCCTAGGGAAAGAATAGTATTAGGGTTGGAAAAAAAAAGTTCATACTTTCCCAGGGTCTTAGCAAATAGTTATGTAATATTTGAACTAGTAATTTTTTTAGGGGGGAGGGGAGACGGAGTCTTGCTCTGTCACCCAGGCTGGAGTGCAGTGGTGCAATCTCAGCTAACTGGACTCAAGTGTTTCTCTCACCTCAGACTCACATGTACCTGGGACTAGAGGTGCACATCACCATGCCCAGATGGTTTTTGTACATTTATTTTAGCAGAGACAGCATTTTACCATGTTGCCCAGGCTGGTCTCGAACTCCTGGCTTCAAGCTATCCACCCACCTTGGCTTCCCAAAGTGCTGGGTTTATAGGCATGGACCATTGCACCTGGCCTTTGAACTACTGATTCTGATTATGAATTTCCCATTGCTTAATGGCATTATAGTGAATTTTTTAAAACAAAATATTTAGTGTAATCAAAAATATAATGCAGTAGCCATCAAGCTGTTTGGGAGTAGGTGGGTGTCACAAAATCAAACAACATTGAATGTCACCAACCAAAAGGACTGAGGGTCATGAAGCTGAGTGGAGAGGTCTTGGAGGTAAGAGAGTGGTGCCCTCTGACCCAGGAGGAGAGGAACCAGGCAGCAACGAGGCCACGGAGGCCAGCAGAGGGCAGAGGTGTGGTGGGCAGACCACCCTCTCCTGTGACAGCTCTTGGCGTGGAGAACCAACTCACCTTTCGGGTTAGCCTTCTCTTGATCTCTCTCTTCTCCTCCTGTTCCTCTTGTTCATTCCGAGCTGAAAGAAATATTTAAGATGTTTTTTATTTCAGTTAACAGTGCTGTGTGTACAGGGGCATCCTTTGGACCTTGACAGGCTCTAGGCTAAGCATCTCAGTTTGAAAAAGGGAAGAGGGCGCTCCTGTCCCCTCCACAAGCTGCCCTTCTCTATATGGGGACTGTTTTCCAAACTACCTGCGTTGTTTCAAATTGCTCCTGAGCAGGTTGACTTTGTCATTTTGCTTTCTTTACATCACATGGGGTTTCAGGTTTCCAGGCAGAGATGCTGGGTTGAGAAATGTGGCTACAAGGGAGGAAGGTAGGTTTTTATTTTTTTTTAGACAAGGTCTCGTTCTCTCTCCCAAGCTAAAGTGCAGTGGCGCAATCTTAGCTCACTGTAGGCTCAAACTCCTGGGCTCAAGTGATTCCTCTACCTCAGCCTCCCAAGTAGCTAGGACTACACATGCACACCACCACGCCTGGCTAATTTTTAAAATTTTTTGTTGAGATGAGGGGGGATCTCATTATGTTGTTCAGGCTGGTCTTGAACTCCTGGCATCAAGCGATCCTCCTGTCGTGGCCTCTTAAAGTGCTGGGATTACAGGTGCGAGCCACTGCACAGCCCAAGGAGGTGGGTGGGAATGTTGACACAGGGACACATGGGCATTTGGGGAGATGTGAGGCTCCTTTCTTTGGATAAGACTAGGGCTCACTCATTCTCTATTGAGCTCCCAGACACTGAAGGGGGCTCACTGTGATGTGGTCCTTGTGTCTGGTGCCCTGTGGAGGTAGAGAGAGCAGAAGACCAGCCTCAGCCTGCTGCAGGAACAAGACAAGGCAGGAGGATTTTCAAAATGCTCACCTTTCACAAGCCCTGATCCCATCGATTCTTTGAGTCTTCTGAGAAGTCCACAGAGCACAGATGAGACCAGATTGTGGGTTACAATTGCCTGCATTTAGACTTTTTAGGAGTGGCTCAGAAGAGTAGACTGCAGAGCCTATAAACTCTTGGCTTAATATATGGGTGATTTACTCATCAGATTTTTAAAGAGCTGTAGATAAGAGAGTGTGGGGAAGGGGGTGGATCGTTGAAGGGCCGAGAATCTGGGCTTATTTCTCCTTTTAAGCTAACTGGATGACCTAGGGTAGACCTTTCCCTTCCGGACCTTGGAAAAATTCCTTGATATCTATGGAAGCACAGATATCAGCATAGCATTGTTGGACTTGAAAAAACTATGGAAGTCAGCTGGTATCGAAGGCCTGTGATTCTCAGCCATTCAATTTCAAACGGCGTTAGTAAAAGGAAACGTCGATTTTGGCATAGGGTGCGTCATGACTGCCTGGGACACTTGTTTGCTTATTATGAAAATCACAGTTGTTAAATTATATTTCGATAGCTTCATTAGTTTGTTGTATTGGTGCACACATGAAATTCAGGTATGGTTGCTGACTGTCTCAGTGTGGGACAAGTCTTTAAAGAAGGCAACCGCTGTGCCTAGAAAGGGGTGGGGACCGTCTGATGACTGAGTCACCTTCATGCTACAGGTGACTGACTATACCTCCCACTAGCACAAGTGGTGTGAGTTCAGAGCAGAGCTCAGACCCCCGAGGGCCACCCCTATGGACATGATTTGGCCTCTGACTACCTGTGGGCAGCAGGCTCTGTAGAAAAGCAGCACAAGAAACAGCCATATCTTGCTGTGGGCTGAGGTCACCAGAGGTCCCTGCTCCAGCCTACCATACAGTGCCTGAAACGGTCACCAAGAGCGAAGCTTTCCTTTGGATTTAGAGATCCTATCTCCCTCCCGGAGTTGTTTTTCTTTTTAATGCAAATTTCTCTTGAATAAAAGCCCATTAAACTAGTCAGCCATTAATAGCTCAATATTAATCTGGCAGAGATAAAGTGGGGAGCAGACAGCAAAACCCGGAAGCAGGGAGCCCCCACACAGTGACATTTGTTACAAATGCAAATTTCAGTGGGATAAAACCTATGAAACTAGTCAGCCATTAATATCTTAGTATGAATTAATCTAGCAGAGATAAATGGGGAGGCAGACAGCAAGAACCAGAAGGAGGGAGCCTCCCATTCGGAGATGTCTCAGGTGGGAGGACAAATGGAAGGAAAGGTGGTCTGGATGCTGGGTCGCCGGGAGCAGCTACAGGGCACATGGTGAAAATTTCAGAGGCACAGAATACTAGGGCCATTAAGGGGCCTAGCGACCACCTAGTCTACCACTCCTGGTTTGTAATTGAGGATCTGAAGGCTAAGGGGTGTTAAGAGTCTGGTCACACCCTACCTGGCTCAGTGGTTACACCAATAGGCTTTTTCCTGTGGTCATGTTTTGCATGGGGCTGGCTCTCTTCCTCACTACTGGCCTCAGACTTCTGACCCTACAGGCCCCTTCGGAGCCATGAAGGTGGGCATTCTGTGATGCAGCTGACAGAGCATGGAACCTTCATCTCCTATGTGTGCTTCTTAGATTACTCTGAGGGGTGGGGCCAGAAGCTACCACCTACAGAATCGATACCTTTAGCTCAAGGCCATTGACAAACCCAGGTTCATGAACTCTCAGACAGAAGGTACCAAGAGAACCCCATTAGGCAACTGGGAAGACAGGCCAGGAAAGGCCCACAATGTCATCATTACAGCTGCCACCATCAGAGGGTTCATTATGTGCTCAGAGGTGCACAGGCCCTCACTGGCTGCTGGACAGAACAAGGGCTGTTCCCAGGGCCAGGCAGGGTAGGGCTGGAAACCAACCCAAGGCTCTCCCAGCTCCAGGGCTGAGCCATGACGTCTCTGTGCCCTGTTCCCCACCACCCAACACAGAGCAGTTCCTCAATGACTGAAAGCTCAGAAAATCAGTTTTAGAACAAGCTGTTGGTAGATATATACCACTAGACATTTCTTGTTTAACAATTGCAACAGATAAAAAGAAAAAAATAGGAGAACACAGTTCCAGAATACAGGGAAAAATAAGAACTTATGGGAAAACACGATCAACAAGTCGATCTGCAAAGTTTCAAAACTATGAAATGATCAACCTGTTTGAATTGGTCAAGTAGTTCTTTAATTTGCAACTATGTGGCCAGGACAAGAGGGATTAGGGAAGAGAATAAAAGAGAACCATGGGAACAATCTTCTACAACTCCTTTTTAGTCCCCTGAATCTAAGTTCCCTGCTTAGATGGCGGTAAAAACCCAAGCTTAACAGACTTGTGGTGTCCCAGGGATCTGGGCAAGCCACAGGCGGGAACTGATGCCTTTGAGAGAATCCAGAACTGAGCTGGGGGATTTTAGATCTCTTTCCAGAAACCGAACTCCTGGTGTGATAAGCACTATTTTCTGAAACCTAAATAATCCCCAAGAGGCTTTTAGCTTCTTTGAGTTTAGGCCTCAGGTCAGAGGCCACAAATACAGCAGGGGGCTGTGGGTAAGTTGTACAGGCTCACCTGGCTGTTTATCTTTCTCTCCAAAAATGGAAAGTTTATAATGGCTCAAGTACCAGATTGGGGCATTAAAAAAGACATCATACAGGCCAGTTGCTTCTCTGACTTTGGAAATCCTTTGTAAACGCTCTAAATTCATTATAGAGAATATTAAGCTTGGAAACTTTTAAGGGGTACCCCTTGGGCAGAAAAAAGTAAACACCCATTCCTAGAGACCTAGGAAGTGCGTAGGGCACACCTAGGACTGACAAAGGCCAATCCCGAAAACAACTTCCACTGAGAGTTGAGGAAGTGGCACTTGGCTTGGGGCCGGGAGGCAGGATGTTGATAAAGGCAAACTTGACATAAATGGACATGTGGGGGTGTTGGGGGTGGGGGTGGGTGCTGCAGGCAACAAGGCCCCCCATCAGAACAGAACCCAGCACCTACCCTTAGCAGACCACGAAATGCCAACCAGGTCACAAGGCTACAGTGAGCATGGCAGGACGGTAAAGCGAAGACTATGTTAGTGTGGTTACAGTGGAAATACCCTGGAAACTCACACTGCGGTTGCATGTGACTGACTGGGCGGGGGCGTGGGGAGGGGTGTCTGCGTCTGTACAACATAGCATTTCTAGAAAACTCTGCATAGTATATATCTTTCTTTTCTGGAGAGAAATTAGAAGCATGTTGTGGGGTAGGGGGAACAGGGTCACTAATTAAGCCAGAAATATCTGTTGACTATCTTGAGTGTTGGTGAGAATGGTGGCACTAACTGAATAGAATGGTTTGATTTTTAAATTATTTCATATCCACCACTAAACTGATGCATACTGGTGTCCATCAAATGCTTGATCTCTTTTAGTATTTCTCTTTTTTTAGCACCAACTGGATCCTCTGTACATATTCAAATATCTCTGTGTCCTAAACCAAACAAAGGGCTCATTTATTTTTTTCTGTCTGCAGCTTTGGTGAAAGGCACTTTTCCTCGAATGAGTACATCAGACAGGCATGCCTGGGACCAGCTGTGGGAATCCTGAGAGACAGACATGAAGCACTTCACTTGGAAATGCTTTCTGAGTCTTGAAATTCAATGTTCAATGGAACGAGGGATTTTTGTCAAAAGCAGCCAGCTGCAATGCAAAGTCATGCTTTCTAGGCTCAGTTCAAACGGCCATTTCCCTTATTTTAGCCGCCTGTATTACAGTCTCCGTTTTAAAGCCAATTCTGGTTTAAAGGTGACCCTACCCTCAAAAATCATTAAATAATAAGTGATCTCACTCTAATTTTTCAGCTTCTCTCTGACTCTACAAACTCCCTAAAGGGAAGGTTCTGCCGGCAGTCTGTGAGCTTCTAAAGAACAAAGTGGAATAAAATTTGCCTTCTCTTTGGGGAGGTCATCTTTGGTGTTCTAACACGCACGGATGAAGCCCCAACCATTAGAAAGGTTTTCAGTCGTTTCCGCACAGGCGCAAGTTAGAAACCTTGTGGCCTACCATTAAATAATAACAAAAGCCGCCACAAAACATCAACGATTGCCATGGGCTTAGTCACTTACGTTTCAAAATGTTCCTCTGTTCCAGTTCCTCTGCAGTTGGCCTCTGGCTCAGCCGCCTACGGAAAAAATCCAGGAAAAGTTTTTGGACCATATCATAGCCTCCTTGGGTCATTAATCTCCTTGGCCCTTGCAGACACACGAAACAGAGTCAGTGGCTGGAGTTCTTGTTCCATCCTGTGTTCTGAAAGACTGACTCTCCCCACCACCGCCTCCTCAGTTCCTCAATTTCAAGCCCAGGAGAGGCATGTGCGTCATGTCACAGCCGCTGACCCCCGCCCTCCTCCCTCCGGCGGCCCCTCCCCAGCCCTGGCTTCTCCAGTGCCCCTAGGCAAGTGGACTGCAACTTAGATGTGACTCTTTCCTTCACAGAAGTCCCTTTCTTTCCTTGTGGCCTCCTAACTTGGGGACTGTGGCCTCTTGCTTCTCTCCCCCTTGAGGCTAAAACCTGTCTTCTGCCTCTTCTGTGCAGATCCAATGGGAACATAAAGAGGCCTGTGGCCACGGGGACATGTGAGAGAGCGTGTCTGTCTGCAAAGAACAATAGCTGCTCTTCTTCTGGTCCGCTCTTCTATTCTGGAGCCTTAGAAGACACGAGTGACAGAGGAACAGAAAAGACACTCCTGTGGTCAGGCATGAAATTTAGCCACCGTAAGTGATACATCATAGCCAGGGCATGAGCCTGCGATGATGCCATGGGTGGAGGCAGGGACAGGCAGCGGGTGGCATGTTGTGACAGAAGTAGCCAGGGCATCCGAGGGGACAATGCCTGTATTAGGTCCCAGGAATGACTGACATGGACTCAGTGGGCCTGAGCAGGAACAGACAGCTATACCTTTGAAGCTCTTGGTAATTATTTAACAACCCTGCAACTATCCAACATTCCACTTCACTCATTGGGATGAAGTGTGTCAGAGACTAAATCATTGTGGAGGGAATTTTAGGCTTCTCAGAGACCTCTATGGGGATCTAAGGGGTAGCGAGGAGCTCTCTCAGTTGTGGAAGTTGCAGTCCCTCCTTGGGAATTAGAAACTGGCAAGATGTTCACATCCTGAAATCTGAAGAGAGATCCTAGAGTGAAAATATCAAGTGAATGAAGTCTCCAAATACAACTACAGTTGGTTCTCTGTATCCATGCGTTCCACATCCTTGGGTTCTACCAAGTATAGATGGAAAATATTAATAACAACACACACACAAAAAACAGTCGAACGATTATTGATACAGCATTTATCTTGTATTAGATACAAGGCTGTATAGCCTGCAGAACAATGAGCCAATTAAACTTCTTTATAAATTACATATTATAAGTAATTTAGAGATGATTTAAAGGATATGGGAGGATATGCACAGTTTTTTGCAAATACTAAGCCATTTTATATAAGGGACTTGAGGATCCTTGGATTTTGGTATCCAAGGGAGTCCTGGAATCAATCTCCCAGAAAGGACTATATTTTTAATTCAAAGCTTGTTGTCCTTTGTATTTCTCTTTATTGCACTGGGCCAGAATCAATTGCTTCTGCGACATTCCAGTGTTACCACCACATATCCTATATAGGGAATGGGTTTCAATGTCTCATATAGTTTGGATATTTGTCCCTGCCCAAATATCATGTTGAATGGTAATCCCCATTGCTGGGGGTGGGACCTGGTGCAAGGTGCTTGGATGGGGATCCCTCATGGCTTGGTTCTGTCTTCTTGACAGTGAGTTCTTGTGAGATCTGGTTATTTAAAACTATGTGCCGAAACCCCATCTCTACTAAAAATACAAAAATTAGCTGGGCATGGTGGTACTTGCCTGTAATCCCAGCCACTTGGGAGGCTGAAGCAGGAGAATCACTTGAGCCTGGGAGGTGGAGGTTGCAGTGAGCCAAGATTGTGCCACTGCACTCTAGCCTGGGCAACAAAGGGAGACTGTCTCAAAAAAAAAAAAAAAAAAAAAAAGTGTGTGGCACCTCTTTGCCATGTGATATGCCTTCTTATCCTTCACCTTCCTCCATGATTGGAAGCTTCCTGAGGCCTCCCTACAGGTCAAGCAGATGCCAGGACCATGCTGCCTATATAGCCTGCAGGACCATGAGCCAATTAAACCTATTTTCTTTATATATTACCTGTATTTCTTTATATTAATGCAAGAATGGCTTAATACAGTGCCAGAGAAAGGCGTTTTGGTCACATACCTGCCTGTCAAACCTATAGCACCCTGAAAGTGTTGGAAATTGCATTCCCAAGTATTTTTAAGAGTATAAAAACATTTTCCTATTACTCCTTTTCAAAACATCCCTGTGGTATAATAAAAACATATTTGTCTTTGACCCAGTTCCTATCACAGAGCACCCAAAATCCTTGGAATTTCTGGAGTCTCAGGAGTGTATTGTGTTACTTGGAATGAGTCCCTTTGGATCACACTGGAGTTTGTGCTAATCTGGTGACTTAGGATGGGGCTGGCCACCAGAAGGATCACATGGTTAGAAGCCTGGACTTTCAGCTGGGAAGCGGGAGGGTGGGGGCTGGAGGTGAAGTTCTGTGGAAACTCTTGAACCACAAGATTAGATGAGCTTCCAGGTTGCTGACCATGGGGCTGGGGGGCACTGCAGGGAGGGTGGCACCCAGAGGGTGCACAGAAGCTCTGCCTCTCTCCCCCAGTACCTTGCCCTGCCCATTCTCTTCATCTGGCTGTTCATCTGTATCCTCTGTAAGAAACTGGTAAAATACGTGTTTCCCTGAGTTCTGTGAGCTGTCTTGGCAACTTATTTGAACACAAGGAGGGAGCTGTGAGAGCCCCAATTTACAGCTAGTGGGTCATAAGTAACAACCTATGACTTGGTATTGGCATCTGAAGTGGGGGCAGTTCTGTGGGACTGAGTCTTTAACCTGTATGATCTGATGCTATCCCAGTAGAAAGGGTCAGAATCAAATTGAATTACAGGACGCCCAGTTGGTGTCTGCTGAAGGATTGCTTGGTGTGTGGGGAACTGCCTCACACAGAAGCGTGTAGGGTCACAGAAGTGTGTCATGTTAAGTGTGAGAGTAGAGTGAAAAAAGTTTCTTTCTTTTTTTTGAGAAGGAGTTTAGCTTTTGTTGCCCAGGCTGGAGTGCAGTGGTGTGATCTCAGCTCACTGCAACCTTCGCCATCCAGGTTCAAGCGATTCTCCTGCCTCAACCCCCTAAGTAGCTGGGATTACAAGCACCCACCACCATGCCCAGCTAATTTTTTGTTTTTAGTAGAGACAGTGTTATACCATGTTGGCCAGGCTGGTCTTGAACTCCTGACCTCAGGTGATCCACCTGCCTCAGGCTCCCAAAGTGCTGGGATTACAAGCATGAGCCACCAAGCCCAGCCAAAGTTTTCTTCCTTTGCGATCCCATTAAGACATTTTTGATCCCCACTGATAAGGGCCAGCTGGATGTTTGGAAATTCACAACATTAGAGGGTCTAAATTTGGACGCGGTCCTCTTTGAGTCCTTTCTAAAATAGCATTCTCACGCTGCGGGAGAAGAGTGATGATTATACAACTGAGTGAGCTAGTGTCAGAGGTCTGGAATGCAGCTCACCAACTCTGCTTTGAAAGATCTTAACAGCTTTCTCACCTGCCAGTTAATTTTCCCTAAAAATACTTGCTTCTTTTACAAGGGATGCACAGCTACTTTTATGGAATGGTTTGGTAATACCCAGGCTTTCAATGAAGCTAAACTTTGGGGGCAGTATGTTTTGAGAAAACCTTGTAAATGTGGGTGGCGCCTGCATCTTGGAGGTCAGGCCAGTGTTTTGGAGTCTTATGCAAAGTGTCTGTAGACTACAATGTTCCCTCATCAGCTCGGGCTGTGCCAGCCATTGTTTTCATTACTGAACAGGACAACTGGCTCTGTGGTGGTTTTTTTTTTTTTTTCTTTAATGGGTGGTCATATTTCGAGGAGGCAAAACTGAGTGACCAGACTCTGATCAGAGAAAATTCTGTTATTAACCAGGCTGCTTTATAGTCAAACACACCTAATTCCAGATGAGGTCCTCTGTTTGTTTCATTTCTCTGGAAAGGGACTGAGAACATCAAGACTAATCATAGCTATAAAATGCAGCTGAGCCCTCCAGAAAGACATGTGCTAGAGTTAGTTGTTTCGACCATGAAAATGAGATTGGAGAGAAAAATGATACGGTGGCACTGTAATGACAAAGCACTAAGTAGCTCAGGAGCTAGGAGGTTTGGGTTCTAGTCCTAGCTCTGAACCGGTGTAGCTCAGACAGGGTGTCAGATCCTGCTAGGCCTATGTTCTTTTCTCTGCAAATAATAAATATAATTTAATAAGCTAAAGCTAATTTAATGCCTATAATGTAAGGGTATGGTTCTAAGCACTGTGCATATTTTAATTCATTTAATCTTTATGTCAAGATGTTTAACTGAATTCCAATTGTAAAGTCTCCTTTGCTCTGGGAAGTTACATATTTGTAGATTTGGGGATTAGGATGTGGACATCTTGTGCCAGGGTGGTCAATATTTTGTCTGCCATAATCACGATACTTTACTAGTAAGAAGTTGCAAACTGACACCTGGTGCACTGGATTTGACTCTATCAGTTCTCTTTGGCATGCTCAGAGCTTACACTTTTTTGAGATGGGCGTCTCACTCTGTCACCCACGCTGGAATGCAGTGGCACCATCTTGGCTCACTGCAACCTCTACCTCCTGGGTTCAAGCGATTCTCCTGCCTCAGCCTCCTAAGTAGCTGGGATTACAGGTGCATGCCACCATGCCAAGCTAATTTTTGCATTTTTAGTAGACATGGGGTTTTGCCATGTTGGCCAGGCTGGTCTCAAACTCCTGACCTCAGGTGATCCACCTGCCTCAACCTCCCAAAGTGCTAGAATTGCAGGCATGAGCCACTGAACCAGGCCGGTTACACTTTTTTTTTTGAGCCTGAATGCCTTTAGACAGAGTGTGTGTTCAATTAGCCCAGTCCCCAGGCCTCACTTAGATAATACAGGTGAGCACACTCACATCTGTCTTGCCTTTTTTTTTTTCCAGATAATTCCTGGACCCCAAGGGACTCTGCATTTGAGATCTCTGGCTGAGATCATCAAGTGATAAGAATTCCAATTTTTGTTTTCCTAAGTCTTTCTTTCATCTGCCAATCTACCCAACATGAACTAGGGGCCACGTAGAGGGCCAGGCACATTAAGGGGCTCACAGACTAGAGGTACACATCTGTGATTACAATGTGCATGGTAAAACTGGATCAGCAGTTTCCAAGGACTGGAATGTAATAAAATATCCTCAAAACAATAAGCAAGTTGCGCATGACTTAGACTTTCACTGCCCATGTAGAAGGGACTGTACATTCTTGCAGCATCTCAGTTGGACATCAAGAGCCGAGGCAAACAAAAACCATTCAGCAGTGGCATGGAAGTGGGGCTGGCTGGGCACAAGGCAAAACTGTGAAGGGGATAAAGTGTCTGTGGTTCTGCCTTGACTCTGCTCCCTGGAGTCTTCCCCTCTTGAATTCTTATAATTATGTCATCACTCTTGCTCTATCTCATTCCTGTCAAGACTTGTTTTAGAAATCGGTGCCAGAGACTTAGCTACATTCAAATGTAAACTCATTCATTCATTTAGCAAGTTACTTATTAGTGCCAGCCCTGTGTCAGGTTCTATATTAGGTACCAGAGTACAGTGATGAGCAAAACCAGTTCTGCCCTTCTGGAATAGAGAAGATTGGAAGAGGATGGGGGGGTCCCATTAATCAAAGAGTCACAGAAATAAGTATAAAATGTAGCTGGAGTAAGGGCCTCCATGGTGAGGTGCTTGGTGCAGGGATCCCTGGATCTGACCAAATAGGCTTCCAGGAGGAAGTGACACTGTGCCCAGAGCTCAGGGATGGAAGAAGGATGCTCCCTCTGGGCAGAGAGTAAGGGGAGGAGGATGGTGGGAAGGAGGGCAGGGGCCAGATGCTGTGGGTATGATTTGGATCTGTGTCCCCACCCAAATCACATGTCAAACTGTAATCCCCAGTGTTGCAGGTGGAGCCTGGTGGGAGGTGATTGGATCATGGGGGTGGTTTCTCATGAACAGTTTAGCACCAACCCCTTGGTGCTTTTCTAGTGAGAGTGAGTGCATTCTCGTGAGATCTGGTTGTTTAAAAGTGTGTAGCACACTTCCCCCTTGCTCCTGCTACCCCCCATGTGAGACCCCTTGCTTCCCCTTTGTTTTCCACCATGATTAGAAGCTTCCTGAGGCCTCCTCAGAAGCAGATGCGTCACGCTTCCTGTACAGCCTGCAGAACAGTGAGCCAATTAAACCTCTTTTCTTTATAAACTCCCCAGTCTCAGGTATTGCTTCATAGCAGTGCAGAACGGCCTAATACAGCTGCTTCCAGGATTTTGATCTTCTTTTTCTAGGAGCAATGTGAAGCCACTGAAGAATTTAAGTTTCAGAGTGTGAGAGGAGAGGCGCGAATGAAATGATCAGACTTACAACAGAAAAAGATCACGCTGGTTGTTATACAGAGAAGGGACTGGGGGAGGCCAGAGGTAACCTGAGGAGAGGCTTCGGGAAGCTTGGCATAGCTAGTAGGAGACGATGGAGGCTTGGGTGAGGCTGTGCGGTGATGTGCAAGCTCTTAGAAAGTCATGTAGACACGGCATATGAGTGGACAGGAAGAAGCAGGTGTACAGAAGATCTCCTTAGTAAGGTTTTCTAACTCAGGCAACTAGATAGATGGGAATGCTGTTCACTGAGGCAGGGGCATCGCAAGAGGACCAGCGTGTTTGTGAAGAGTGGAAGAAAACCATGAATTTAAGTTTGGATCTGTTACTCTGTTGTCAGAATGCTCCTGAGACACATGAAGTTGTCATGTAGACAGCAGGGTACATTTAGCTCAGTGGAGAGGAGAGGTCTAGGCCAGTGAGCGAGTCTGCAATGGAAACAATATTTGAAGTCATGAGTATGGAGAGAGTAGAGAATGAAGAGGAGAGGGCTTAGGATGGAACCCTGCAGAATTCCAGTATTGAGTGCATGGACTAGAAGATGACCCTGCTGTGGATTCTGAGGAGGGGCAGTTCTTGGAGGTAGGATAAGGACTAAAATGTCATATCATGGAAGCAAAGTAATGGGAAAGAAAATATAGTAACTAATGCTAAGGCTTTCTGAAGTGGAGTCAAAGGTTGCAAGAGGATTACACTCACACCTGCTGAAGGTCAAACCAGGGGATGTTCCAACAGACTCAGTTATACAACTGAAGTCAGCATCTGCTGGCCTTCAACACCTCAGCTGAGAGTACTCTCATTATAACCAATCACAACAGGTTTGTGATTTAGGATTTCTGCCTGGCCAATGAGCTACTTCTGAAGATCACTTAAAAGTGTTTTGTGACAGTCCTCCATTTAAAAAAAAATCTCTCCTGCATCCTGTGTTATGGGGCACTCTTTAGGGCTGCCCTGACTTGGTGTACCCCAACTGCCATTCTTTGCTTCCCAAATAAGTGCTATCTGCTTTGACCTCTATGTCAATCTTTTCGTTAACAGATGACAGGTATGGCCAACAAAGGGTGCTGAGTGCTGGCAGGACACGGTGGCTCACACCTGTAATCCTAGCACCTAGGGAGGCTGAGGTGGGCGGATTGCCTAAGCTGAGGAGTTTGAGACCAGCCTGGGCAACACAGTGAAACGCTGTCTCTACTAAAAATACAAAAAAAAGCTGGCCAGGTGTGGAGGTATGCACTTGTCGTTTCAGCTACTCAGGAGGCTGAAGCAGGAGAATTGCTTGAATCCGGGAGGTGGAGGTTGCAGTGAGCTGAAATCACGCCACTGCACTCCAGCCTGGGCGACAGAGCGAGACTCCATCTCAAAAAAAAAAAAAGAAAAAAAAAGTACTGAGTGCTACTGTAAGGTTAGACGAAGCCTGAAAAAATGCCCACTAGGTTTAGCACCATGGAGGCTGTTACTGAAAATACCTAGAGCCCCTTCAGTGAGGTGGCAGGAAGAGAAGCCAGATTGGAGAGGGCTGAGGTCAGAGGTGCGAAAATGGATGCAATGAGGATGGAGGCCTCGGCCGTGAAGCCTGGCTTTGGAGGAGGTGAGAGAAGTAGAAGTGAAGGAGGCTGTGGTGGAATTGGATTTATTTTATTGTTTATATTTTTCAGAGATGGGGCCTCACTCTGGTCACCCAAGCTGGAGTGCTGTGGCCACCTTGGCTCACTACAGCCTCAACTCCCTGGGCTCAAATGATCCTCTCACCTCAGCCTCCTGAGGAGCTGAGATTATATGCATGCATCACCATGCCTAGCTAATTTTTAATTTTTGGTAGAGTTGAGGTATTTCTGTGTTGCCCAGGCCAGTCTCAAACTCCTTGGTTCAAGCTGTCCTCCCACCTTGGCCTCTCAAAGTGCTGAGATTATGGCTATGAGCTACCACACCTGGACACATTTTATTTTATTTTATTTTATTGTAATTTTTTCTCAGACAAGGGCTCACTCTGTTGCCCAGGCTGGAGTGCAGTGGTGTGATCTCAGCTTACTGCAACCTCCACCTCCTGGATTCAAGTGATTCTCTGGCCTCAGCCTCCTGAGTAGCTGGGATTACAGGCATGTGCCTCCTGAGTAGCTGGGATTACAGGCATGTAATTGGCATGTGCCAATTACACCCAGCTAATTTTTGTATTTTTAGTAGAGATGGGGTTTCGCCATAGTGGTCAGGCTGGTCTTGAACTCCTGACCTCAGGTGATCTGCACACCCCTGGCCTCCCAAAGTGCTGGAATTACAGCATGAGTCACTGTGCCTGGCCCAAATTTTATTTTTTAATGGAAGAAAATGGGGCATGCTTAATGGAAAAGAATCCAGATTAGGTGGTGGGGGGTGATAATCCCAGTTACCTCAGCATAGGAAGAAGATAGAGATGGCAAGAGGCTTACCCAGTTAAGTCTGTTTACTCCATATTCCTTTGTCTCTAACTGTTTACTCATGTAAACTTTGTGCAGGATGGTCCTCTCAGGGGGAGGTCAAAGGGAGAACTACACATTAATGGTGTTTATTCTGGGCTCTGGAACCTAAAGCTTTTATCATTTGTAAAACCATTCTTTTAACCATCTTAATTATCCACAAGTGTGTTGACTTAGAACCTCTGTTATGAAATCTTTACTGAATAAATGTGAAGATGGGACAGGGGGTCTTGGTTGATTGGCTGCATGCGCCCTCTGAAAGTGGCCAACAAGCATCCCTAACCCACTTTCATCACTGAAATGGGTGTGAGAGTAGAGTGCATTTATTCATCTGTTGTTGAGTCAGCGTTTGCAGGCCAGACCTCTGCAGGTGGTGACTGATGTCTCAGGTGGTGACCCCGACATGATTGAGGTCACAGGTGGTCACCCCAACATGACACTCACCACATCTTGAGAAGGCAGGAGGGCTTGGGATCCAAGGGACAGAGGTGGCTTTATTTTTGAGTGGAAGAGGAACAGCTCTTTACCGGGACAATGGGGAAGCAGGACAGAGTGGGTTGCATGTAGATGTGCAGTGTTCAGTACTGGAATTATAAAGGAGTTACCAATTGGTAGCTTTTGCTTATTCTTTCAAGTTGAGCTATACTGAAGATGAGTTATTTTAGCTTAAAATATTACCTTTCATTGGGAGATTTGTTCTTGAACAGAGACAAATTCACGAACCCAAGGCATAAAGCTCCAGCTTTGGAATTCTAGTCATCAGAGTTTTTGGGGGACACCCAGGGCATCTTGCCATCTTCATCAATAAAGCAGCCATCTGCTCAGCTCATTTTATGATCGATCTACCTGGTGCATCTACTAAGTATTGGTTAATAGAAAGCAGGGCAGCAGAGCACAGTGACGTGGTCACTTGTATGAGTCATCCCAGGGAGCTGATAACTCCAAGAATCAAAGTTAAGATGTGTTGCAGTAGCATGCTCAATGTAAGCAACGCCAACAAAGATGCCTTCTGAATATACTGCATCTCCCTTGTTCCCACCTTGCCAGTAGATTTAACTCATTGTATCTGATTAAAACTGACATTAAATTGAAAAAAAAAATCCTGACTATACATCTATATGTAATCCTAGGTGTCACAGGCAATGATTTTTGGAGATACATTTTTATATAAAATGAATCATCCAAAATTAAATGTTTAATGTACTTTCAAGTGATCTTAAGTAACTTTGCTAATATATATGTGACCCTGGTTTATAACATATCTCTGAGCAGCAAAATGGTTTCCATGCCTCAAATAATTTTTTCTTTCCCATGCACTATGGCTAAATAATTCTCCATTTATGGTGAACTGAAA